CTAAAAGAACAATTCCAACATTTTATTCCACACAAGAGATAATGCTCTTTATTGTTGCTAAAAGACTACAATTTCCTTCAATGAGAAATTTTTTTCTTGTAGTACACAAAATGTACATGTATTTGAGGTGTTATTCTCTTTCATACTTTAATTGTAAGTTTTTACAGGTCCTCTTTATGTTGGTTTTGTTAAATATACAAATATCCAACATTCCAGGCTTGATTGTTTTGCATATCGTCCAGAGACCTGATATGAATGATTTGGTGTCTGATGTTCATGAGATCCCAATCAGGCTACAGTCAGGCATGGTGGAATGAGTCTGTGATCCTAGCTATGAGGGAGGCCTAGATAGGAGGATCCCCATGAAGGTAGGTAGGTCTGGGCAAATATGTGAGACCCTATTTGAGAAATAACTAAAACACAAAACTTAAGCATTGCTTAAGTTGTAAAGTGCCTGCCTGCCAAGCGCAAGGCCTTGAGTTCAAAGTCCAGTACCACCAACAAAACAAAAAGAGCACATTTATGCTAGAATATTAGTAGGATATTACCCAGAGCAACTCACAAAATTACAAGTAGATAAAATACCTTGAGCTTTAATTAAAGTCACATTTTTCAAACATAAATAAAAAACAAAGATTAAGTGACTAAAATTAAAAATAGTGATAATCCAGATATTGACAAGGATATAGGAAACACTGGCTCTCTCACACATTACTAGTGGAAATGGAAAATGCGATGTAAACTGGAAAATTCTCAGCAATATCTTATAAGAGCAAGCCATTTGACTCAACATTTATTCTCCTGAGTACTTATCCTAGAGAAATGCAAACTTTGGTATTCTGTGTATATGAATACTCACAGAAGCTTTATTCCTAACAGCAAAGTACTAGAAACATTGTAGCTATCCTTCAGTAGGTGAGTAGTTCCTATGCTACATCCAAACAATGGAATGTTACTCAGCCATAAAGAGGAGTGAGCTGTTAATGCATGCAACAACTTGGATGGACCAAAAGGGTATTATACCTACTAAAAAAAAGTTAACATTCTTGAAATGACAAAATCAGATAGATGAAAAATAGATTAGTGTCTGCCAGGTGACTGGGACAGGAGATAAGGTGGCTGTAACACATGAAACTTCTTGTATACTGATAGAATTGTTCTATGTGCTGATAACTGTGAGGGCTACGTAAGTGGTATAAAACTGCACCTAAAACTCTGTACAACACATTCACATACATGCACACCAATGCAAGTTAAAAAAAATAAAACTGAATAAACTCTATGGTTTGGTTAACAGCAATGCAATAATGTCAGTTTCTTCATCCTGATATTACTCTAAAGCTGTAAGATGTCACCACTGAGGGAATGTGAGTGGAAGGTACCCATGACTTTACCATCTCTTCAACTTGTTGTGAGCCTTTATTAGTTTCAAAATAAAAAGATTTTAAGAGAGTATAATTATAATTAGCATAATTCTAAAACAGAATTTTAGAGCTATTAAAAACAGAAACAGTTCTTTTACACACCTGGCATTTCAAACAACCTTCTTTTCAAAGGATTGCTTCCCAAAGTCTTCAGTTGGAAGAGAAGATTTTTTTTAAAAAATTTAAACCTGGAATGCAGTTGTGAAAGCTCCAAAACTGGTGTTTAAACATCAAAGCTTCAACTTTGATCCCCCTCCATCCATTTTCTTCTTCAAATACCTTTTCTTTGACCCAGAAGAATGTCATTTCCAAAAGTGCTCAGAGATCCGCACTTAACTTGAACAGAATTGTTCTTTTGGATTATTAAGGCTATTTAATTTTCTCTGTTGGTTGCTATCTTGAGTAGTAGATTCCTCTAAAATTTCAGGCTGAGAAAATTGAACTGGTCCCAACACAATTCAAAAAAAAAAAAGCAGAGCTTTGGAATTCATACAATCAATAGCTGTTGACAGCAAAATTAGAAGGGCACCAATCAAATGCTAAGATGTCCAAAAACATTTTGTTCTTTTTTTTCATTTGAGTCTCAATGTGGTCAAGAAATGGGGAAATGTAATAGAGAGGTTGATTCAAAAAGCACTCAATAGGTACCTAAACCATCAGAATACTCTACACAATGTGCACAAGTGCGGAGTGGGGAAGGTCATCCTGATGAACAGTGCCATCGAGACTATTGTACAGATCTCAAATTGCATCCCCAGTACTGACAAATGCTCCAGGTTTTATATTAGGAGCCTGAATGAGAAGAAGCAGTGTCATGTAAAAACAATGGTGAGGAAATAAAATCTCATGATCAAGGGATAAGGTAACTTTGTTGGCCTGAGATGAAGCAGTGAAACCCAAGAGAAAAGCATCTGATCAGGAGAAAAATTGCAAAGATATGGAAAGCAAAACTTTATAAAACAAAATCTTACAAGGGAAGGTGTGGAAGACTGCAACAGTGCCAAATTAGGAAAAGTATTCACAATAGCCAAGTTATGGAAACAGCCAAGATGCCCCACTACTGATGAATGGATCAAGAAAATGTGATATCTATACATAATGGAATTTTATGCAGCCATGAAGAAGAACGAAATGTTATCATTCGCCGGTAAATGGATGGAATTGGAGAACATCATTCTGAGTGAGGTTAGCCTGGCCCAAAAGACCAAAAATCGTATATTCTCTCTCATATGTGGACATTAGATCAAGGGCAAACACAGCAAGGGGACTGAACTTTGATCACAAGATAAAAGTGAGAGCACACAAGGGAGGGGTGAGGATAGGTAAGACACCTAAAAAATTAGCTAGCATTTGTTGCCCTTAACGCAGAGAAACTAAAGCAGATACCTTAAAGCAACTGAGGCCAATAAGAAAAGGGGACCAGGAACTAGAGAAAAGGGTAGATCAAAAAGAATTAACCTAGAAGGTAACACCCACGCACAGGAAATTAATGTGAGTCAACTCCCTGTTTAGCTATCCTTATCTCAACTAGCAAAAACTCTTGTTCCTTCCTATTATTGCTTATACTCTCTCTTCAACAAAATTAGAGATAAGGGAAAAATAGTTTCTGCTGGGTATGGAGGGGGTGGGGGGGAGAGGGAGGGGGTGGAGTGGGTGGTAAGGGAGGGAGTGGGGGTAGGGGGGAGAAATGACCCAAGCATTGTATGCACATATGAATAATAAAAAAAAAAGAATTTGAAAAGCCACATTATAGGCAACACAGAACTATTTCTTTCTGCATTATTTTGTGTGTGGGGAGGGAAACACGTGGATATAAGAAATTTTATTTATCAATGAGAAGATGCTCATTTTCAATGAGAATGATAACATTAATTTGTCTTCAAAAGAAAGTCACCAGATTCTTCACTACTGTTCAACCTATTTGTTGTTTTTAAGTTTTAGAATTAATGACATCTAAGCCATTAAATACCTGTGTAAAAAATGTCAATTATATTTTTCTTCACTTCTTTGACTTAGGAGTAATCAATGTACTTTCTGCTATTGATCACATTGATACTATTTTTTCCAAGACAACATTAAATTACCAAGAAGAGTAAAAATCATAAGGATATCATCTGGGCATGAAAATAAGATGGATTAATGGATAGAGGGCATGAGGACATAAATGAATGAAAATGTAAATTGCACAATCTTGGATATGACTATCTCCTATAAAGTCTTTGAACTTTTCTGTATGTTTGAAAATTCTCTGAAAAATTTTGGAAGAAAATGCAAACACCTCAAAAGGACAACTAGAAATCTCAAGTGCCTAAATAAATGGTTTCATTTCCTGAAATACTGTATTAAGATTGTTGTCCATGCACAATGTGAAATTAAGAGGAAATATTACAGAAACCAAAGCCCTGCACTAAGCATTTCCAAGTTTGGTTTCCAGGTAAAAGACAGGATATCAGGGAATAGCCATGTTAATTGAAAGTATCCATTTCTGTGAAAATACTTCTTATTGTCCCAAAGTTCCATTTGTGTTTTGCCTTACTGTGTCTGAATGTTCTTGTCAGGTGGATCCAATCATCTGTGGACCCAGGTCTGTCTGGTAAGGCCACAATACCCAAGAGGTCCAAATGATGCAGATAAAGTTCAGTCACACTTTTTTCTCAGATCTAGAACAGAGTTTCAGCAGAATGTATTCAGTTACATGACTAAAGCATCCAAATTATATAAAATCAACAAAATAAGTATAACTAATTTTACAGCTAGACATGAAAAGGGGCTGCCTGAATTTTTTCTATTGTTGGTCTGTACTGTTTAAAATATTCTTCTTCTTGAAGTGAATTAGAGTTTTAATGAGCCTAAAAATGTCTTCATTGGTTTAGAATTAATTAGGAACATCAGAATTCTTGTATATGGCAAAGAATATTTCACTGTCCTCTGAATTATTGCACAAATTCCTTACAATACTCACTGCATTTTCCACAAATTTTCCAGAACTATGCAGTTACAGAAAATGGAAAACGGTGAGTCAGTAGCTCCCTTCCTTCTAAGCAGACCTGGATCTCAGAAATCCCAGAAAAGGTGATATTGATCCTTTCAAAAAAGTTATGTACAATGGAATGATATCCACCGACTCCTTTAGAAAACAGGGTCAAGTAACCAGTTGGAAACTAGGCTAAAGGTGTCACATTAAACTTTAATAATACCTACATTTTTATGGGGCTTTTAACTTTGTAAATTGCTTTCCCATGCATTAGCTCACTTCATGTTCTATTCAATGAATCAGTGTCTACATTTTAGGGTTGAGTTACAGTGACATAGATATCAAAATGTTGACAGTGATCTCTCACAAAAATTGATTATTACATTGCTCAGTAGAAACATTTAATAGGAATTGACTGGCTTCAAGATCAAGAATTAAAATGGGTTAAGATTCTGCTACTTTGTTTAATCCTCTGCCCCACTGTTTGAGATTCATCATTGAGCCTCAAAAAATCATATTGCCTTTTTTTTTTAAAGAAAAAAAAGACTTCTTTTTCCTCCCTACTCTTTCTGAGTTTCTTTTTCTTTCCAATGTATCTGCAGGTCAGTCCCACCCCCGGGTGCATCCGTGCTCTCATGAAAATGCTGTACTGCCCCTACTGTCGAGGACTGCCCACAGTGAGACCCTGCAACAACTACTGCCTCAATGTCATGAAGGGCTGCCTAGCCAACCAGGCTGATCTCGACACAGAGTGGAACCTGTTCATAGGTAAGGAGCATGTAAACAGATTGGAGAACACCGTGTTTGTGATGCTCCATGGGCAGGTCAGAAGGTAGGATGACTTGTAAAGACAGCAAACAGTTTTTAGCAAACTGTCAGTGTTATTTTGCATTTTTCATCCTGCTTCTCATCCTGCAAAATGAGGCTGACTTGTACATTGTAAAGATACACAAGCCAGCTATATTCAATGAACAGATACCTGATGAAGATAAAAGTAATCTTGAAAAATTTCTGTAACCTTTCCAAAGAGGGAACAATTTAGAAAACAGTCTTGTGAGAAAACCAATTCACAGCACTGCTTTTTATTTGTATTACTTAAGCATAGTCACAGATTTTGGGAAAAGACTCCTTTCTTAGACTTCTAAGATGAAAATAGCTCAATATTTTGGCAAAAAATATGCAAATTTTGTCTCTCATTCTGAAGAAAAGGAGGTTCCAAGCACCCAAGCATGAAACAGCCTTCTAGTCTGCAGAAGGTAGCAGGGAAGGAGGTGGGGAGAATGCAGAGAAAGGCCAGTGAATCATGGCTGTGTTCTTAGGTGGCAAAAATCATTCAGGTGGCTGGCTGCCCAAAGATATTTCCCAAATAGCTATCCAAGGATAAAAGGACAACTTTTATAGGCAGGCTTCTCCCAGGAAAATACACAGGCCTTGAAAGAGTAAATGCATTTTCTTCCCGTTCTGTCAGATGGCCTTCAAATAAAAGTATTTTCAATCATGTTTACTGTAATTACAGAGTGATAAGCAAAGAGGTGAAAACAGCAGCAGTATTCTTCATCCTCCAAAGGCCTTCATCATTTATGCAAACCTCAAAACAGAATGCACAATGCCAATCTGACATTGCAGATTGGGGTGGGATAGGAAAATAATCTAAGATGTGTTAGAGTTCAGAGAAACTGAAGCTCACTGTGCAAGGTGTGTTAAGGTTACAGACATTTAGCTTTGGCAATGAAATCCATTGGCCAACTCAATATTTTGATTAAGAAGCCAGTGAAAATGGTCCTGTAATTAAAAAGAAAAAAAAGATTTTAGAGAGGGTAGACTAAACTGGAAGTCATCTAATAAATTCACAGAATCATACCAGAGAGAATAAATTGAAGTTCTGTTCTTTTTCCATTCAGTGTGAGGACCAAAATAACCTGTTTTGTAGGATCATAGTTTCTTCATTTAAAAAATAAGGGTGCTTTTAAAAAGTTAATATTTAAGATACTCTTCTAACTCCACAACGACATGATTCTTTGCTAATATTTTTGTTCTTTCCTAAGATTTGGAGGCAGATATGAATAAAAATAAAAATAAACTATTTTCTGCAATGTAAGATTTAGGTTAATTTTGACAAAGACATCTACCCAGGTCTAGTAAAAATGTAACCTCACCAAAAATCTAAAAAGATTGGCATATTTAAACCTTACAGCATCCCTTGGAGTTATCTAGATCATTTCATTTTATGTCTGAAATTTCCCTGACCCTATTAATGAAAATGAGTAAGTGGATAGTGTTGTGTAGACTATGGCATGATTAAGGATGAGAATGTGGGCTTTCTAACTTGTAAGAGCAACAGTGACTTCTTAACTGACTTTCTTTCCTTCAATGTTCATTGGCTATTTTACCATTACAAGTCCTTATACTTTCAAACAGTTGAGTTTCTAGGTGTCATTTTGATGTGAAATTGAATGTCTGAAGGATGATTTGATTTAAAAACTAAAATATGAACCTACCATATGTTGGTTTATTTTAATGAAAGATGGAATTGATGGTTAATCCTCCTTGAATTTATTTCAAATGTTTTCTGCTTTTTTAATTAGTCCTAGTTGTGTCTGAGAAAATTCTTCCAGTTTTCTTTCTCTTGGTCTCACTATGGCATTGGGAACTGATCACCAACATAGGGTTGTAGAGCATAGTATATTCTTGCAAATACTTGTCTTGGTGCGTAATATTAGTTTACACATTTATTATAAGAATTAGTCAAAAGTGCCAACCCTGGATCCGGAGGTGTGACTCAAGAGGTCATAGTGCCTGCATTGTAAGAGCAAAGCCCTGAGTTCAAATCCATCCTATTCTCCATTCCAAAAAAAAAATGTGCCAACCCCATTTTCTACTCAGATCAAACCAGGATGATAATGTTACAATGTTCATGAATGCACCACCATACATATCAGTGAAAAATTGGCAATCTACCAAATATTATATGTAATAGCCTCTCTCTGGTTAGCACTTGCAGTCCATCACTTGCAGGCCCATGGTGTCTCTTCATCAAACCCTGATGTTACTGTCAATTGCATATGCCATCTCTGTCTGCTTCCTTCACATAGCTAGTTATACTTCTTAAGGATTTTTTCTTTAATTATTATGTGCTCATTGGAAATGTTAACAGTGCAATCTGCTGTCGGTAAAAATGAGTCAAATCTGTGGCACATCATCATGATCTTTACAATGTTAAGAATTAAGCAAGGGCTGGCAGTAAGAGTGCCTACCTAGCAAGCCTGAGTCCCAGAATTCAAACCCCAGTGCCACCCCACATTCTAAAAAATGAATTAAGTAAAGGAGATTAGTAACTATTTAGAATTCAGCTGGTATCCAGATCATGTCAAAATAAAGGCAGTTCAGGTATAAGGTGAAACGTTTTTAAGTCTTCAAGTAAAAGCCCCAGTGGTTTTCCATCCAAATCTAAGGCTCTGTACTTGTGTTACTATTGCTGTTTTCATTTAATCTTAGAAAAAGAAAATCAGGATGCCTTTTGTAGTCCTCTTCTGACAAGTTTAACTCTGAGCCCTGTACAGAGGTAGTACTCCATTTTTTGGAAAAGTTGCTGACAACTTTGAAGGAATTGCTACTAGACCCATTTTAAACATTCAAAAGCCTCTATTCCCCTCTGGCAGGTGCCCTCACCTGCTTTCTAGCATGTTGATTCCCCACTGCAAAGCATACACTGGCTTCCATTAGCTGACAAGTCAAATGCATGGGTGAGCTGGTGGTGCCCTACCCCAGAGCTAGGCAGGATCTGAAGGAACATGAGAGGAGGTTTTAGCCAGTTCTCACTATTAGAAACTGTGCAGTAGGAGAAAAACCTAATTTGAGGCACTGACAATCTGGTTAGGCACTTACCCCAGGTGTTCCTTGTATATTCATATTCAACTTTTCCCACTCCAGTTTTTGAATGTGGCCCAAATCAAAATGATTTTCTTGAAAAATGCTCACACTAAATTAAAATTTTGTAAAGGGAAACAATTTGTGAAGAACTCATTTTATTAATGTCCTGCAGTTATTTTGAGTGTTTGGCAGTGATGCCAACATTGCACAGGTAAAAATTGTTCTGTTGATAAGATGCCATGTTGCAGATTACACCTAGCTCATGAACACAAAAGTGAAGGCTGAAATTACATGTATATGGCTCTAATAAATCTTGCATCTACTTTAAAATCAAGGATATGTTGGATAGCCTCCTCCAAACATCTGGTACCTTCTAAGGTTTTATTGAGTATGAGATCCAGAGACAGATTTTAAAATGAGGCTGCTGGTATGGGAAGGGAAAGATTGGTGAAATAAAAGACAGAGAATCTATCACATTCTATAAATATTTTTATCAATAAAATGATATAGAATGTTCCCTATGGCAAGTATAAATATAAGGCCTTAGAGGTATTTTTTGCTCCAATTATATTATCTAAATTTTTAGGCCATTCCGGTTAGTAAGACTATAATTACCTTCATATTAATTCAATTTACTTCATTAAGTAAGCTATATATATACTTTTGTGCTCAGGAAATTTCACATAATTAAATAAATTGTGATAAAAAGTGTCAGAACAGTTCAGGAAGCTAGGTGTTCTCTAAACAGGGTCATTTAATTCAGTCAAGGGGTTCAAAAAAGCTCTAACTTGCTAAGTGCAGAATAAAATAGTAAATATGGCTGAATCAAATTAGCATTGCCATACATAAATGATATTGAAAAGCCACAGCATATGTGACTGTTATATCATCCAAATATACTCAAGTTCTTATGGCAATTTTAAGAGGTCTAGAATGATTTGTCAATGGTTCTTAAAATGCTCAATTGTTTTTATTTTGACATTTTCTATGATCAAATCTCACTATCACCACTGCCACTGACTTGAAATAATAGATTTGGAGAATTTGTGTTAGTTCATCAAGAAAATGTTGAGTTCTCTGATTCAGATATGCTCTCCAATGAGTGAAAAAATCCAGTAGGAAGATTGTATTTTCATTTAGGCCTTCAACACTTAAAGACAGACAAACCAATGAGATCAATCGAACTGACCAATGTTTAAGTTTCAAGACATCCCAAAAGCAGAAGTGGGCATAAGACTATCAAACATAAAACCCAGGTTGAATAGTATATCTGGGCCAGGCCACTTATTCTTCCATTAATTGACATCTTTACCACCAAAGGCCCACTATGGACCTTGCTTTGGCTTAAACATGGTGAGAGAGCAGAAGGCACATAAGACCCTTGCTTGATAAGAACAATATCTGTTCTTGGAGTGAAATAAATGGAAACAAATAGAGAATTGGAAAGGAATATAGAAAGAAGCTATTCTATTTTACTTTGTAGGTCTACTCTTTTAATGGAAGTCTAAGTAATCCAGTAATTTAAAAACCACTTATCCTTGTTGTTTTGCACTCTATGACAGCAGAGATGGCAGAAACAAATCAGATAATGAATCTAGGCCTTCCATTGTGACAGTTGCTATCAAGTTGTAAATTAGCGGCAGCTGCAAGGAAGCTGTGTTAGGTCAGTGAACTGACTGGGGTCATGTAACAAATGGCGACTTTGGTACACAAATGACTTTCATAGAATCTATGAAAATTGTCTTCAAAGTAATTCACATTCACTACTTTGTGTTTAAGAAAAGTGATATTAGATAAACCTTATTTGAAATTAGAAGATAAATACTTATTGTCCATAGCAAATAAACTTGGGTTTTCTTTTTATAAAATGTGCAAGACTGTATTATGTTACATTTCAA